AACTGATTTCCAGAACCATGCCAAACAGCGATGGGAAGTTCTACCCATCGCTGTTAAAGCCTTGGTGCAACATTACCACAAGGCAGAATGCCCTTACCCAGCGATGGGAAGCTTTACCCATCGATGGGAACCCAGCGATGGGAAGGCTTAACCATCGATGGTTAGGCATGACCGTTGCGAGTCATTTAAGGCTGATTCTTTCCTTATTTGAAAGTCAACCTCCCACCCAGCGATGGGAAGCATCTACCCATCGATGGGTAGGTAACCGTTGGCTTCAAAACTGAAGGAAAATTGGCTTACCAGCGATGGGTAAGTTCCAAACATCGATGGGAAGCCAATATCCTGCAGATCCCAAATTTATTCAATCCCATAAATCAAGCCAATCACCCCTTTAATGTATTGGTCCGTTGGAGCCTATTTTGGCACTATAAAAAGGGGTGTTTGGGTCTGCTTTTCTCATAAATTCACTTCACTTTATTCATATTATCATTGCATCCAAACAACATTATTTTCCATAGCTTTCTAGAGCCAATTTGTGAAGTTTGAGTTGTTCTTGAGCGTATATAGTTTACTCAACATCTACTCTTAAAGAGAATCTTGTTCTTGAGTGTTCTTAGTGTTGTAAACACATTTAGGGAAGCTTGTTTCCCTTGGTTGTACGAAGGAAAGGTATTTTCCTTCGGGTTGAAGTCTTGGAGTGCGGTATCTCCGAGCAAGTGTATTGAGGCTCGTGGGACTCGAGTTCTCAGGTTGTAACGGTTTGTTAAGCACCCGTAAGCTTAACGAAAGTAGTGTAGCTCGAGAGAGTCTCTCGGGAGGCTGGATTAGCCACAAGTTGTGGTGAACCAGGGTAAATCTTGGTGTGCTCCCTTTACTCTTTTTTATTCCGCTCTTTACTTTATCCCTGCGATTTTTATTCCGCGAAAATTTATAAACATTCTCTTGCCTCACTATTCACCCCCCCCCCCTCTAGTGAAGGGCACTTATTCTAACAATTGGTATCGGAGCCTAACTCGCGTCCAAACTTAACCGTTTGAGAGTAAAGCGATCATGGGTTCTTCTTCTAGAAATCTTTATGCAGGGATTGGAGAAGGTCAATCAACTACACGGCCACCTCTTTTTGATGGAACCAATTATACATATTGGAAAGAACGAATAAGAATCTATATTCGTTCCACGAACTTCCAATTATGGTTGGTTATCAAAAATGGGGAAGAGGTGCCGATGAAGAAAGTCGGAGACAAATTGATCCCCAAGACCGAAGACGAGTTTGATGCCGAGGACATCAAAAAGGTCGAGATTTATGCAAAGGCAATAAACATGCTTTATTGTGCCGTAAATCCTGATGACTACCGCAAGATCTCCTGCTGCTCAACCGCCAAGGAGATGTGGGATAAACTTGAGGTGACGTACGAAGGAACGGACCAAGTTCGGGGAGCAAAAATTGACTTCCTAACGCAGGAGTACGAGATGTTCAGGATGAAACCAGGCGAGAAGATCGACGACATGTTCAATCGCTTCTCGAAGATCATCAATGATCTTCACGCCCTAAAGAAGACGTATGCCAACAAGGACCTCGTGAGGAAAATCCTGCGGAGCCTCACCCCCGAATGGAGATCAAAGGCCGACGCCATCTATGAATCCATTGGAGTCTCCAACGTAACCATCGACGGATTAAGAGGTAACCTTAAAACTTATGAATCTACAATTCTAACCCCGTCTTTGGATGAACAAAAGAATAAAGGGATAGCGCTCAAAGCAACCAAGGAAATGGTTGAAGAGGAATCAAGTGATGAAGACAACGAGTTTGACCTCATCATCAAGAAATTCCACAAATTTATGAAGAAAGAGCACGAGCGCAAAG